ACCAGAATACAGATGCTATGGTTGGGCTTCCTCACTAGCCAAGGGGTGGTGGGCACGCATGACCAGTTTCGTCTTGGCGCGCTGGGAGAGGGATTTGAAGAGCAGTGGATTGTATGCACCTATACGGGCCACCATGTACGGAATCCCAGTCAGCTGTCGCCATTTCTTGGCGTTGCTGGAGACCTACATGCCTGACAGCAACACCTTCCTGACCAGCGGTGGCGAGTTAGGGTTGGCCTTGCATGAGATGCATCAGGTTTCTGGTCTTCCGATGGGGGATTGTCCATATCAGGAGTATTTTCCCTCGAACCAGCAGTTGGAGTGTATGAAGAAAGATACTCCCGATATGTATGACACTCTCTGGGATCTTACTTGTCACTATTATACCTCCTTGGCCCAGACTTCTCTTCTAGCGAAAAGGAAGAAGCAGATCAGTTTGAAGCAGTTTGCTAGCTATTTGTTCCAGAACTTGGAGGGTAATTCCAGCGAGCCCATTCGTGAATTAGACGTGTTGACCCCTAGAGGCTCGTTCTTCTCGCACCTTCAGATCCTTCCAGGTCTTTGGCGGTGCCATTCCCATAGCTTCCAGGATGTCCAATGAAAGATTGTTATGACAGGGCTCGAGGATGAAGTCTTCGCTGACCGGATCCCTGCAATTTATTGCTTTGTTTCGGAATCTCTTCACGAAGTTTTCGACCGTCTCACCATTTTTCTGTTTCTCGTCAAATATCACCATTCTTCTGCTTCTCATCAAACAGAGTGCCGATTGAGACCTCAGTGTCGTCGTCGAAGAAGTTCGTCAGAAACATATCCTCCATGTCGTCCCAACTGCTGATACTCCCCGGCTTGAGGCGACGATACCAATCGAAGGCTGCTCCGCGAAGAGTGCCAACGAACGACCGTACCATCAAGGGTTCATTGCCGGAGATTATTCCTAAGTGAGACTTAAAATATATTAAGTTTTGGGTAGGGGAACCCTTTCCATCAAACGGCGTAAAGTTGATTGAATTAAACTTTGCTGGATATGGAATTGATTCCCACTCCCTTGGGTATGGACATGGTATGCCGGATCTCTTCACTTCTTGAGCATTCATCAACGCGTTGATTTTGCTCTCCAAATCCTTCATCTTCTTGTCTTCACTCGTACCTGTCTTCGAGTGGCTTTGGGGAGAGGTAACGTGGTCCTCTTTTGCATTATCATCCACGGGACCGCTTCCATTGTCGTTGTTGACAAGAGGGATATTTATGTTGACATTATTCTCTTCCCGTTCATTCTCATCTTGATTCTGATTATGGTGTCGAGTGGGTTCTCCCTGGTGACTTGTCAGAGCCGCGATTTGCTGGTCATGCATCTCTCTCATTTGCTGCATGGCCATCTCCATCTCGAACTTGAAACTTTCCTTCTGCCTAGCCAGGGCATCTTCAAGCATCTTGGTTACTTGTTCGGCGCTGATCATGAGTGACTCGTAAGGTTGCCCCGCACTAGACGCCGTGTCATCGGATGCTATGGCCGAGTAAGAGTCTGAATTAGCATCCGACGCCTCCTCTTCCGAAGGAAGTCCCTTTTGCATCCTTTGGTAATTCTTTCGCCTATTGATCCCTGACCGCAATCGAGTCATGCGCTGGGACGCTTCGGCAAGTTGATCTGAGCACCGCCCTGATGATGTTGGCACACGGACAGTGAGGTTCCGTGTCTCGAGCATCTCTCTTTCGAGACTTACTCGTATCCCCAGCTCTATAGTACAACTCATCAGTTTGATAACTGGAACAACCCATAGAGTGCTGACATGACTTCCCAGGTATAACACTATCATCATCAGACGAATGTG